AAGGAGCAGCAGAGACAACGTGTGATGAACTGACCGCAACCCCCATTCCCTGTCCCCCTGCACCGCTGGTGGGGAGGAGGTAGAGAAAATCAGGAGTGAAGTTGAGCCCAGGAAGAAGGGAGGGGTGGGGGGAAGGTGTTTAAGATTTAGGTTTTATTTTCTCATTACCCTACTCTGATTTGATTGGTAATAAATTAAACTAATTTCCCCAAGTTGAGTCTGTTTTGCCCGTGAGGGTAATTGGTGAATGATCTCTCCCTGTCCTTACCTCGACCCATGAGCCTTTCATTATATTCTCTCTCCCCTGTCCAGCTGAGGATCGGAGTGATAGGTAGCTTTGGTGGCCACCTGGCATCCAGCCGGGGTCAACCCACCACACAGACCTTAGCAAAGAGATTTGACTGAAGGGGGACAAGGAGAAAACAAGTGGCGTGTGTAGGCCCTAGAAGCAGGGCCAGTTTTCTAAGACAGAAGACTGAAGCAAGAATGGAAGGAGGCGTCTCATACACATAATCCAACACACATATTTAAAAATGTTCACATGTGGTGGTTTTTTCATTGCAAAGACATATGGCAACTGATGGAGGCCTTTAAATGCAACAATTCCAACAACTTCAGGGTTATCACAGAGATTAGGGCCAAGATGCATTCTTGACCAGACTGAACCTAGTTAAAGACAGAATAAAGTAAGGCACCGTGGCCTATGAAGCAATGGGGGATTGCATATCATGGCAGGAGAGGATCCATTCTCTAAAGCAACTGGAGACAAGTAACAGCTGTAATAGTAAAAACAAATAATTTATATTTACTATCTAATTAACATTGACTTTGTAGTTACCATAGGAAGAAGATGATTAGTCCCATCTCATTCTTTAAAAGGCAAAAGAAATGGCTGTTCAGAAGAAGATACAGCTGATATTGCAGACAAATACTTTTCAGGTGTTTTTTCTGAAAGACAACCAAGATGATAGCTTGTCACAATCTAATTTCACAGAATTTTGCTTTAGTACTGACTTAATTAACCAATTTGACAAGACATCCAATCAAGACAAGACTACCTGTTGTGTGTGGATTGAAAGACCAACTGATTTGTAGCTTGCAGAAATATATAGTCACTTTACAAACAGTTGGTAGAAAATCAGATGCCGAAGACACATTGCAAAAATCTGAACTCATCCTGGGCTCCCTATTTATTTATCTGTTCGTACTGCAGACTGCAATTTAATGCAGGGACAATATAAAGAACTTTTGTTTTGTTTTCTGTCCTGGAGATCTTTCTCCTGGCTACCTTTTGCCACCCAAATTCTATTAATTACCTACAACTATAACATTACCTACGATAGTGTGGTTGCATATATACAAAACTCTGCATCGAATACATCAAATGCTATAGTTATGTGTACAGATCTTAAATATAGTATTTAGATATAGTATTTAGATTAGTATATATTGATACTTCTTTACATAGTGTACGTACATCTAATAGTGGGAAGTGATGCATTTAAGAATTCTGTCAGTGGAGTCTGGCAACTGGAAATAAGGAGGAGGTGAGAGCTGTGCATTGACCATCAGCAAACGTTTCACTATGCACAGCCTGGGAGTCTTTGTTCCAAAGGCACAAGCCTTTTGATTTAAGCTGATAGTTCCTTCACAGAGCTGGGATAATTATCTGCAACTGTGCTTCTGATCCAAGGTTTTATTTCCTATCATATGTGCAACACTTTTATATTAACTGACTCAAATGACATTTCTTTAGCAGTAGTTTATTTACATACTAACTTGCAAGCGAATATTTAAAAATGGACCAGAGAACATAATAAAACAAGAGCTAGCACTGTAAAGTGCAGTGGTAAAAATATGAAACTGGGAGGTCAATCCATACCTTGTCAGGTTTGCAGCTAGCTTGCCGAAAGCCACCTGTTTTTAAAGCATCTACTGGCAAAGCCAGGAGAGTGATACTTACATGTACAGGGGACTTCTGAAGAGTATTTGTAACAAATATTTGTTACTCTCTTCAATGGAAAATGTTTTAATACATTGCAATTATTTTGTTTCCAAAACCCAAAGATACAGCCAAAATAGCGTAGTAACCTAATCACTACATAAATTCCACACTCAATAATGGAAAGCAGTGCCAGTCCCTTTTATCACCTGTGTGTGTCCAAAACCTGTTAAATAAGAAGTATGTAAATGAATGATAAATAGATAATCCAAATTAAAGTAAGGCCAGAGCAAGTAATATCTCATCCATCTTCTGAACTATTTCAGTATGGAACATGCTGTGTTATTGTTACCCAAAGTGTGTCTAAAAACAAAGCTCAACCTGTTACTGTTTCCACAACAAATGGAAATCGAAAATATGTGAGTATTAAAACCAAAATATTGTATATATAAATATAATAAATATTTTCCAAACATACAAGAATTTAATGGGAAAGAAATATTAACTGCTTGGCTATGGTCAAAAGAGCTAAATCATTTTGTTACAGTATGACAGAAAGGCTGTAACCTTTCCACAGTTAATATTGTTTGATCTGAAATCTGTCGTGGTGTTTGTTTGTTTGTTTGTTTTTTAAATCTGCATACTAACTGTTTTGATTTGATTTGCTAATCCTTAAAAAATATTCTATTTTGGTTTTCGACTTTTTTCTTTTATTTAACTGAAGTTCAAAAGTAACCTTATGGGGAAACTCAAAGTACCTTTAAAGACATTTAAAATCTGATTTGTTGGATACAGCTGAAGAAAACATGTTTTAATCCCATGTTTAAATTTTTTAAAATTATTTAAAATGCTTTGGAAACATTTTACAGTAGGTAAACATTTTTATCATCTTCTTACAAGCCAGTTTTTATCAAATGAGATGAGGTGGCTACAAATGAAAATATGAAAGATTTATGTTGGGTCCATAAGCACTTATAGAATCATAGAATCATAGAATAGTTTGGGTTGGAAGGGACCTCTAAAGGTCATCTAGTCCAACCCCCCCGCCGTGGGCAGGGACATCTTCAACTAGAGCAGGTTGCTCAGAGCCCCGTCCAGCCTGACCTTGAATGTTTCCAGGGATGGGGCATCCACCACCTCTCTGGGCAACCTGTGCCAGTGCTTCACCACCCTCAGTGTAAAAAATTTCTTCCTTATATCTAGTCTAAATCTACCTCCCTTTAGTTTAAAGCCATTCCCCCTTGTCCTGTCACAACAGGCCTTGCTAAAAAGTTTGCCGCCATCTTTTTTTATAAGCCCCCTTTAGCTATTCTATAAAACGACTTACTAGCTTTGTGTTTCGTAATTACTATTACAGGGCCTTAAAAAGCTGATTTGAGAGGGAGTTCCAGTCCAAATGCATTGTCAAATTTATGCTGTAGAACAAAGTGTTCAAGGTGAGGAAAATAATACATTACAGTACCTAATGAATAATGGGCCAGGGTTATCATTAGTTGTCATTTGTTTCCTTTTTTTAATAATTGTTCACTGTGATGACAATGGAACACTGTGTTCTTAATGATTAATGAAGTTGTCTTGATCTTTGATTTTCTTAAATATGGTATGTAATTTTTATTGTAATGAAATAATCATTGCTAATTTAAAATAAAAGCTTAGTTTTTAGAAGTAATAGAGAACACGCATATTCTAAAGGGCATTCCATTTGTTTATAGAGAAAGAGGTTCTTAACGTCCAGTAGATCACCTAACATATTCCTTTCAGCAATTCGGGGCAATTTTCTAACTGAATTTCTTAATTATTTCATCCAAACTATTATTTAACAACCCAAGGAATGTTAGTTCACTTACATGCTTTGACAAATTATTCTCCTGCCTTGAACACACGTTGCTGTCATTTAAAAATTTCCTTTGGCTAGTGTCAGTTTTTCATTTCTTATGCTGTTTAATCGTTAACCAATTCCTCTCTGTCTTCATTACGTCTCTGATACTTACTCTTGTTTTATGGAAGCTTGAACTTTGGACAAGGGAGCAGCTCATATTTAAATACATACATATTTTTATCTGTACCTTGTGTCCTGATAACCTGCAACTCTAGGTTAAGAATTGAAGCCTTTGTAAGCGAATATATGTTATTCCAAAATGCAATTGAGACTTATGATATGCATAATAATCTGTTTGGAAAAGGAATGCTGTTTTCTTATAACGAAGTTAAAATGAAGCACTTCAAGAGCAGCTACCACTGAGTAAAATTGAAGCCACAGTAGTACTCTTTCCTCTTTAAAGAAGCAAATGTATAAGCAAATGACAAATCTTTTCTTTAACAAGGCAGAAACAGTCACTGATTTTGCTGGTTTGGCTATCACAAAAACTAGAAGTCAAAAGAAAATATTGATAGATCTTTACAATATTTAAGTTAAATGTGAAGGAAAGTACTGAAAGCTAAAATTACATGGGTTTGCCTATATACCATATATCTAAACTTCTTTATTAAGACTTGCTTATAAATTTCTCAGTGAATCCTTGAGATGTGATATTTATAACTAGGAAAATTTAGTTCCTGTGCAAGTTGGTTTTATCTGCAAAGGTCCGCTACATTTTATTGCTTATTTTGAACTGTATTTTTATTCTTAGCTACAGAATTTAGATCCTGAACCTACAAGTCCTTGACCACTTCTTGTTTACGTGTGCATATGCTTTCAATACTGTTCTTCAGTCTAAAACAGCTCTTTCCTTCACTGGGATCTCTATTTGATAAGTAAGTAGACAGCAGTCTTCTCTCAGCCTCTATTTTGCTAGACTATTGTACTAGGTCTGGTCAAGATGGAGTTAATTTTCTTTGTAGTAGCTGGTATGGTGCTATGTTTTAGATTTGTGACTAAAACAGTGTGGATAACTCACCAATGTTTTAGCTATTGCTGAACAGTGCTTGCAAGGCCTTCTCTTTTTCTCACTCTGCTCTCCCCTACCACCCCCAGCGAGTAGGCTGGGGGTGCACAAGACGTTGAGAGACAACATGGCCAGGACAGCTGACCCAAACTGAGCAAAAAGATACATCATACCATATAACATCGTACTCAGCATTAAAAGGAGGAGGGGAGTTTTTCAAAGGTAACCATCGCTCGGAGACTGGATGGGCATTGGTCTGCTGGTGGGAGGTGGCGAGTGTTTGCTTTTGCATTACTCGGGGGGGTGGTGGTATCTTTTTTCCTTTACTTATTAAACTGCCTTTATCTCAATCCCTGAGTTTTTCTCACTTTTACCCTTCCAGGTCTCTCTCCTGTCTGGCTGGGGCAGGGAGCAAGCAAGCAATTGGGTGGCAGCTTAGCTGCCAGCCAGGGTCAACCCACTATGATTACACTATGCAATCTCTTGAAGTCATTTGCCTCCATTTCCGTGATCTTCCTAGCAGTCCTCATCTGCTTCATTTTTCTTGAAAACAAGTGACCAGAAGCATACAAGATACTGAGATCTCATGAAGGATTTAGAAACTGGTGCTAATATTTTCATCTTCCATGGGAAATAGGGAAATGGCTAGTGCCAGTGTTTTCTTCGTGACTGTATCACACCGGTGGCTCATCCTTCAATAATAAGTTCCCCTGCCAGAACTTTATGTCCATTTCTTTCAGAATCCTGGAATGTCTGAAGAATCTTTCACTATTTGCAAAAAATGCTCCCCCTCAAAAAAAACCCCCAAAAACCCCGAAGTCTAACATGCTTAATTTTGGGTTACTCTCAATTTATCCCTAACTTCCTGACCTCTAGCACACAGCTTTTTTCTTGATCAGTCCTTTCTCCTTTTCCCTCTGGGCTTTCCAGCTAGTCTCAACGGTGCTGATAGGTGCATCACCTTCCATTCCTTACTCCTGTAAGCAAATCATTCTCCTCAGACTGTTCTCTCTTGCGACACCCTGTATTCCATTTTTGTTCATCCTTGGCTTCCTGGTTTCCCTCTCTTTTTTGTGTGTATGATGTGTTGGTCTTCCCTTATTTGTTGCCACGTAATGTTT